GAATAATGATGTGTGGTGGAGCTTCTTTAAATAGTGATACACAACGTTTTATTCAAACAGCACTTTGTGTTACACTTTTTCAAGGTTATGGTTTAACAGAAACATGTGCAGCTGCAACAATTGCTGATCGTATGTTTTATTTTTAAAATTATTATTTTTTATTTTTGTTTAAAATTAGAATATGATACATCGGTTGGAAGAGTTGGATATCCACTTGTTTCATGTGAAATTCGTTTAAGGAATTGGGATGAAGGAAATTATAAAAATACAGATAAACCAAATCCACGTGGAGAAATTCTGATTGGTGGAAAAGTTGTTGCACAAGGATATTATGATGAGACATCAAATGAAAATATTAATTTTATAGAAATTAATAATACGAAATATTTTTGTACTGGAGATATTGGAGAAATGTATCCTGATGGGACACTTAAAATTATTGGTTTGTTTTATTTTAATTAATTTATTTTTAATTATTTAATATAATTTAGATCGAAAAAAAGATTTAGTCAAATTACGTAGTGGGGAATATGTTTCATTATCAAAAGTTGAAATGGTTGTTAATAAATTTTCAATTGTTGAAAATTCTTGTTTATATGCAGCACCATCGGCTGAATATAGCATTTTATTAATAAATCCAAATCAAAAAGAAATTACAGTAAAGAAATTTTTTTTTTTGTTTGTTTAAGTTTTTCTTTTCATTTAATTATTTAAAGAATTATGCACAAAGAAATTTTGGTGAAAAGCAATGGCAAAATCTAATCGATGATGAAAAATTTAATGATATGATTCTTAAAAATCTTCAGGATATATGTAAAAAAAATGGAATTGAAAAATTTGAAACTCCTCAACGTATTAAAATAGTTAATGAAAGTTGGACACCTGAAACAGGTCTTGTTACGGATGCTTTTAAATTAAAACGAAAAGCTATTGAACTAAAATATAAAGATTATATTCAACAACTTTATTATGAGAAACCAATTCATGAACCTACTAAACGAAGAACATCTCGTGTTGCACCAGAACCACAACCACAACAACAACCAATAGCTATCGAAACAATTGAACTTTCAAATAATGTTATCAACAAAAATAGATGATTTATTTGTTCTGCTACTTCCCCGGCATTTGATCATTTTGAAACTGAATTTCATTGTCAGGATCGCCATCTATATGTAGGGTGTGTGTATAAGCGAACATATATAGTATTTTCTTCTTTTCCTTCACATATATATCTATATCGTATTCTTTCTTTCGTTATTTTAATGCGTTCTTCTTCTATTCTTTTAACTTATATTGAAATGTGTTATTTCCAAGTGATGAATGAAAGGATATCACTTACGTATTTTTCCTTGAATATGTTGTATTACAAGAAATGGGAATAATCAAAGTAACCATTTCTTGTCCTATAAATACTTGCATTTTCTTTTTAAATAAACGACTATTACTAAACTTCCAAAACGATCATCTTCTTCTATAAGTTACCATAAGACTGTAACAGTGTGGGTGTCTATTTTTTCATAACCCGCTCATACCCTCAAATTTCTAGCTACTCCAGTTTACCTATTCAAATATCTCTTGCATGACTTGAGAAAATAACAAAGACACTGGATATCGCACACTTCATTTGATCTTTATCTCAAAAAATGGAATAATAAATTCATGATTTTTATATGAAATTACAGGTCGATTTCATAGCTATCAAATTCATCATCTCAGTACCATCTTATTATAAGAAATTAAATGAAGCCTGAAGGCGACCATTATCAGATTAATGAAAGAAAATGAGGTATGTTGTTGGTAAGTTTTAACCCTTCGAAAGTCGACCAAAACCCAATGAATTTTACATCAAATTGTTTGACTCAACTTGCTCTTTACACTGATATAAAACTCAATAGGATTTATTGGGGAAAATGTTCACGAGTTGATTCTCTATCATATGTGCCCTGGTCATTAGTGGCATTGAATATAGTAACAGCGGAAAAAAACCAGAAGCATATTGGAAAAATGAAATGAAATAATCCATACTTTTGTATATTTTTTATCTGCAAACGTCAATACGATATTCTTCTCTCATTCTTGACAAATCCAATATTTAATTACACATTTACAATGAGAATGTTTTTGATATGACATGCGGACGACAGATGCTCTTCAAGCTATTTCAGAAATACCGGCCATTATTTTAATAAAAGTGAAATAGTTGTTATCTTTTGCGTTTTTAAATTAACACCATAAGTCATTTATCTATCTTCCATTATGTAACAGTTTCGATTAAATCCTTATGCTTTCGTTTCCCAATTCAACTCTTTTCCCTTTCTCTCTTATTTGCTTTTTATGACATAAATGCTTAGATATAATCTGATATTACTTATTGTTTAATTGTACGCATCATATAAATGAAAAGGAAGAAGTACTACAGTATTATTAATTGTTTAAACTCCCGTCTTTTACTTAAAAATATGTTTTGCCTATTGTCAACCAAGAAGTTCGATTTTGTGTTGATTCCGCAGAATATTAATTACTCTTAGATAAGTACACTGGCTGTGATTCATATCAAATTTAATTTACTATAATTTATGGACGTTCATTTTTGACGTGAAACTGACGTTGATCCATCAACGCCAAGATCATATGGTGCTGATACCTTTTGGCAGATGATAATTAGTCATTTACTTTTTTGACAATTTCTATCTTCTTACTCGAACACCTCTTGAATGCAGACGATTTAACTGATCATAACGTTTGCTTTCAAGACTACTAGAAATATAGTCTTCGCCATTCTTTGTTATAAGATATCGTATTAATAAAAGATCTAAAACTGCGTAATGATTTACATTACAAATGGAAATCAAACACTCACGATTGAATTTCTCATCATTTATTAATTTATATTCAAAATATACTTTCTTTTTTTAATATGTGTCAAGATATAATGAAACATCTTGAGAAATATCTGTTCATGAAAAAATTATTATAAAAACTTGATCTTCTTTTTAATTAGTTGATAATATTTTATCCGTGAGTATTCAATGACAGGTAACGTAAGCGCATTTTCTACTTTGCTACTAGAATTACAAAGTATGTTTTATTAATGAAATTCTTTTGTAGAGGAAAAAACAGAAAAGAAGCTTACAGGAATTATCCTCCATAGCGACAGGAAAACAGTGAGCTATATTACTTGACTGGGTACATACTGTTTCTATATTTAACAAAAAATATTTTTATACATGTATAATCTTCGAAGTGAGCTCTTTCAAATGGTATGACAACGAGTTTTCTCTAGAAAATTATAACTGAGAAATTAACGATCCAAGATAACTTTCTCACTGCATTATTATTAGGGATAGTTTCACCAATAAGAACGACTAGTTAAATTATTGTTCATAATAATGCCGTATCCACTAGAATAAGTATATAATTTTACATAAGATAAAAACTGAGTTCATTTCTAATAACCTAATAGATATTCGACAAAATATTCTTTGTCTTCATTGTATATGTGATCTTTGTAGATCGATATAACAGAATTCGCTATTTTCTTGGTAATGTCGTTATCAGAGAAACTGTTACTAAGAACGACGCAGTGCCTTTATATCGCTCATTTCTATGCTACTTCCTTGTGAAAAAGTCTGCTATGGTACCATTTGAAAGAGCATACGTCAAGGGTTATGAATATATAAAAATCTTCTGAATTGACTGTAAAATAGATGTGCAATGAGTTAAACAACATAGGTCACTATTTAATATTTATTTCATCTATTTTTTAGTAGTAGAACAGCTATTATGTCAAATACTACTATTAGCAGTGAAATATTAGATCTTCAGTTGGCTTCTCGAATGATCTTCTCTTATGCGGTACTAGTTTTCATCGCTTTTGGAACAGTTGGTAATCTATTGAATATCTTTGTATTTATTCGAATAAAAGTATTACGACAAATGCCCAATTCCGTTTTTCTATTAACGTCTTTTATCGCTAGTTTAGTGCAAATATGGACGACTCGTTTTTCTGCTGCATTTCATAATCTCACAGGCGTTGATCTATTAAAGCAATCGAGTTTTTATTGTGAAATCCGCTGGTTATTCGGCCGTACGGGTGCAACCATATCAATGGCAAGTATTTGTTTGTCAAGTATTAATCGGTTTTTAATGACGTCACAAAATGTACGCTATCGTCAAGTAGTTACTATGCGATGTGCTCGCATGACAGTCATCGTTATGATTCTAATCTTTTTAATTCCACTTATTCCTGATATTGTTTATTATTCGGGACCAGGGTGCACACCAACTGGGTCACCTTATTGGTATAGACAGTATACCATGTATTTTAATCAGATCTTTTCCAATATTGTACCTGGTCCTGTTCTTGCTATATTTGGTATACTTACCTGGCGTAATCTTCGTAGTGTGAGGGTTATTCAACGTAACCGACTCGAAGAGCAAGTTAATCGTATGATATTGGCTGAACTTGTAATGATATGTATCACTGCAATTCCAACTATCATTGGTGCTATCTATCCGTTAGTTACTGTGTCAATAACAAAATCTCAATTACGAGTGGCACAAGATAGTTTGTGGTTAAATATTTTAGCTATTCCCGGCATTACAACGTATTGTGCATCATTTTATGTATTTTATGCTGCATCTTCTGCGTACAGAAAGAATGTTCGAACAGCTCTCAGCTGTAAGAAACATAACCGGATTGAAACACAAGATTATACACAACAGCAAAATGCATTAATTCCCATGAAAACTATTGCTCTGCGTGGATGATTTTGTAATAATGAATTGTATTTTTGAAGGTGATGCTATTTATTTGTATGTTGTACCGACCGTCTACTTATATTCTATATTTTTCTTTGATTTAAGTGTTGTGTAAACAGTTTTTTTTCAAAAATATTATCCAAATTAAACTCGTAAACATTTTAATTTCATGTATAAAATTATTTGACTATGTACAGTCGTTGTATTTAGATTGTTGGAATTCACAAAGTGTCCATCAGAATACCACAGACTTCTGCTACTCATAGCTCCTTCCTTCCTTCCTCGTGACTTATATTGAATTATGCATTATTGTACTGCATCCATACTCACACCCACACCTTGTAAAATACCAACATTTTTACGATGTCATCCAATATGAGAAAATTTAAAAGCAAAGCATCATTTTGTCCTGTCATATTTACATGTAACATTTATTATATAAATATAAGACTATAGTCATACCTTTTTTTACATTGAAGATAATGTTACTTATCTTTTGTTCTTCATATAAACAATACGCAAATATTAAATAACTTCGAATAATAACTCGTTCTTTTTAGTTTAAATTTTGAAACAATTTAATATGGTAGAAAATCAGGGTTACAGTGAGTTTGCTATGGAAAATAATCGAGCTAACAAATGGTGGCATCACCGACGGATGAAGATCATCTGTATATCTTTCATCGTTGTAATAATTTTTGCAGTGACGCTCTTTCTAGTTTTAAAATTTGTCATTCTTGCACCAAACAGGTTAGAAACTACCACGTTATTACCGTCAACTACAACATCAGTGCTAACACCGCTAACGACAACAGCAATAACGACCACTACAACTACTACAGCTACAACATCGCTAACGATCACAATAACAACAACAACAACAACTACTACTACGATAACTACAACTACTGCAGTAACAGCATCCACAATAACAACAACATCTACAACGATAACTACAACTACTACAGCAGCAACATCTCTAACAACCACAATAATAACAACAACAACAACAACAACTACTACGACCACAACTCAGCAGTTAGGTAAGCTTTAAAGTAGTACTTATCATCTCTCTTAATACTACGTTAGATTATACATATGTAAAGTTATTTCATATTATTTAATCTACAATGTTTCGTTTTGATTGAATTTAAATTGAAAAGAAAATCATTTCACTTCCGATATTACGTGAAATCCATCGAATTTTAAATATTTTAAATCTGTCGAAAAAATGAGGAGCTTAGTTATCAGTCTGGAAAAGACCAAATATTCCGCTATTGTTTGATCTAAACTTCATCAATAATTAATTATTTGCTCAGCTAAGAGAACAATTAGATGCAGGGGCACGGTAAATTTTGTGGTAAAATCAATTCAGAGATGATGGGCAGGTAGTGATCTTATATAAAAAGATTTCAAGCTTTAATCTCTATTGTAATATAGACCCAATAAAGAATGCAAACTTTTTCGGTTTTTTTCAAATTCTTAATCACTAAAAAAAAACAATGCTGTGTTACGATATTCGCTGACTGTTCTAATCAGACATAACTTCATCTCCCTGAGTAAAATGGATTAATTAACAACAATAGACATTCTTTTCAGAATAAATACATTCAAATGTTTCTGTTTAGAATGGATAAATACTGGTAGTATGATTCAAGCACGAACTGGTCACGTAGCGTTCGTTTTAAATAATGGAAAAGTATTAGTTACTGGTGGACAGAGCGGCGATCGTCTAAATAGTACTGAGTTGTATGATCCATCAACAGGAATGTGGATAGCTACTGGTGACTTGAATAATGCACGATCTGACTTCGCAGCAGCTATATTAACAAATGGAAAAGTGTTAGTTACTGGTGGACATAACGCCGATGGTGATTATCTAAATAGTACTGAGTTGTATGATTCAACAACAGGGATGTGGACAGCTACTGGCGACTTGAATAATGCACGATTTGATCACACAGCATCCGTATTAACAAACGGGAAAGTATTAGTTACCGGCGGATATTATTATGATCGTCGTATAAACAGTTCTGAGTTGTATGATCCAGTAACAGAAATTTGGACAATAACTGGTAGTCTGAATGAAGCACGATCAGGTCATACAGCGTCCGTAGTAACCAATGGAAACGTATTAGTTACTGGTGGATATAATCATAATCAACTAAAGAGTGCTGAGTTGTATGATCCAAATACAGGGATTTGGACAACTACTGATAGTATGAATGACGCACGAGAATATCACAGAGCATCCGTATTAACAAATGGAAAAGTATTAGTTACTGGTGGACTGAATGATCATGCTCTAAAGAATTGTATATTGTATGATCCATCAACAAAAACATGGACAAATACTACTGACATGCACCATGTACGATGGGATCACACAGCATCCGTATTAACCAATGGAAAAGTATTAGTTACTGGCGGATCCGGTAGTAGTTTTCTAAATAATGTTGAGTTGTATGATCCATTCACAGCAACTTGGACCACTATTGCTCATATGAATCATGCACGGTCTGGTCATACAGCATCCATACTAACAAATGGTAGAGTGTTAGTTACTGCTGGATTTAACGGTTTAACTATGAACAATGCGGAGTTATATTGATCTTTAATACGATTAATTTCTTATTTTAATAAAAATATTTTCATTACATGATATGTCTCGAGTAAATTACTTTCTAATAACAAATTGTTTCAGTATTATCGAGAGTGAGTGAAGATGTGGGTGGGAACTTACATCATATAATTATCTTCCATTCATCTATATCCACACCCTGATAGAGTTCAAAATAATCAATTACTGAATCATTTTGAATGATAAAAACTGGATAAATCATCGAAATTTGCTCGTAGATAATTAACAACTATATTGAAAGAAATCCGACTACAGTACATTAATCAGTCATACGTATGCCTCATTTTTTCTTTGACCCAAGCTTTTATAATTGTCATCAGTCGAAGAAAACGATAAAAATCTAAAGCATTTTCCAGGAAATTAGTATAAATATCGTGGAATTATTCATCAATATTTTTATGTTTAAGGTGTAGGTGTTCTCTTTTGATCAACAAGAGACATAAACAACCACTCTCAAAATCGTTAAAAAACAGATGAATATATCTTATTTTTTAGTATTGATGATGAAGAACATTACACTCTAAGCTAATAACTAATCAATATCGATATCAAATATCATCAAGTTTAGTGAATCTAACATTTTAAAATGCATTGTAATGCTTTGTCATTCTATGACAGCGTTTATTGTTTTTGTCTAAAAGGATTAGTGATGATTTAAATGGACTATGACATGAGAAAAAAGCATACGAACAAATCAGTCAAAGCAAATAGTGGAGGATATATAAGTGACAAATACGTAAGTAGAAATTTAACCAAACCGATTGTCGGCAGTAGAAAAAAAACGAAATGATGAATCAAGTTATTTCTGTGGTAGGAACGATTATAATACTTTCGGCAATTCAAAATATAGGTAGGCTAGTGTGTTATTCAGATTAATAGATAAAGTTATTTTCAATATTTTCAAAGGTGTTAGTGCTGCATTACCATACTGGTGTGGTCTTTATTCAGCTCGCTATTCTCCATGTGATCCACAACAATGTTGTTGCATTGAAAATCTGTTTTATATTTCGACACCATATCCATTCAATGAAACAAGCATTAGATTTCGTTTTG